CTAAACCCTAAACCCTAAACCCTAAACCCTACCTGTAGTACATGGGGGCCAAAGACCTGTACCTCTCTTGTCCCGCTGTGTCCCAAATCTCAAACTTGACAACACAATCCCCCAAGTCCACAGACTGCGTCATGAAGGCCGCTGCAGCACAACCACCAACAGCTGCTGCTGCTGCTGCTGCTGCTGCTGCTGCTGCTGCTGCGGTTGCTGCGGCTGCTGCTGCGGCGGCGGCTGTGGCTGCTGCTGCTGCTGCAGCTTGTTAGGAGCCGCCGTTCTGCGTTGTGCCGCGCCGCCAGCGGCGCCCCCCAAACCGCAAACCCCAAAACCCAAACCCTAAACCCTAAACCCTAAACCCTAAACCCTAAACCCTACCGCCAATGGTGCTTTCCTGGTACTCGTAGAACTCGTCTTTTGCAAACCTAACCACCAAACAGCTTTTGCCCACGCTGGTGTTTCCCAGCAGCACGAGTTTGAAGTGCAGCACTTTCCTCTGAGCAGCAGCAGCAGCAGCAGCAGCAGCAGGCGAAGCAGCAGGCAGCAAACCCTCTCGGGGCACAGAGCCCTCAGGGCCCCCAGCACTGGGGGACTGCGACATTGCGGCGGCTGCTGCAGTTGCTGTTGTTGCTGCTGCTGCTGCGGTTGCGGCTGCTGCTGCGGCTGCTGCTGCTGCTGCTGCTGCTGCTGCTGCTGCTGCTTGTGCTGTTGCCACTGCTGCTGCTGCTGCTGCTGTAGCTGCGGCTGCTGCTGCTGCTCGAGGGGCGCAAAGGAATCCGTAACAAAGAGGTGCGCCCCAGAGAAGAGGCAGGCGCTGGGGGCCTCCGTAAACCCTAAACCCTAAACCCTAACCTTAAACCCTAAACCCTAAACACTAGCCGCGGCTAGGCAGAGGGACTCGAATGACTCAGCCAGAGCGCAGGCGAGGCCAGCGCCCCGCGGGGAACCCTTTGCGGGAGCCCTAAACCCTAAACCCTAAACCCTAAACCCTAGAGCCGCCGACGGGACTCACTGCTGTCAGCAAAAGGGCCGCCGGCGGAGCTGCAAAGGGTAAATGCTGAGGTGTCTGTACACCTGAAACTCTTGACTAGTCCTCAAAAGTCTCAAATTGCATGCGTGTATTGCTGCAGGGCTATTTTGCAGCAGCAGCTGCAGCAGCAGCAGCAGCTGCAGCAGCAGCAGCAGCTGCTGCTGCTGCTGCTCGCGTTGCAGCAGTAGCCGTGCTGCTGTATCTGCTGCAGCAAGAACTTACTGGGTGAAGCAACACGCAGAATTTATCTTCTTGGAAACTTTGAACCCCAAACCCTAAACCCTAAACCCTAAACCCTAAACCACAAACCCTGAACTGTCTGCGACGCTGTGTCGGCGATCACCAACGCGCCGTGCACAACAGGAACCCTAAACCCTAAACCCTAAACCCTAAGCCCTAGAACACGCCCCATGAGTTTTCTCTGCACATCTGGGACGGTTCAGCCTGTGTTGGCGAAGCTCTTGGTCCTCTAAACCCTAAACCCTAAACCCTAGACGCTAAACCCTAAGCCCTTGCACCAGATACAGCTAGAAATTGAACCTGAACGTGACAATGATAATTTCTCCCTTTTTTTCAGATGTTGAGGATTGAGGGTTTGGGGTTTAGGGTTTAGGGTTTAGGGTTTAGGGTTTGGGGTTTGAAATCCTGGTCAGAAGGCGCTAGACAGTGGCTCGTTCAAAGCTCTCAGCTGCCACAGAAGCTAGAGTTTGGGGTTTAGGGTTTAGGGTTTACGGTTTAGGTCTTAATGGCTAAGGTTCGGGGTCTAGAGTTTAGGGTTTAGGGTTTAGGTCTATAGGTCTAGGGTTTGGGGTTCAGGACTTAGTTTCTGTGACTACTTTCTTTCCTTCAAATCTTCGGCCTCATTCACTACTGGCACAATTTGCAGCTCATGGTTTAGGGTTTAGGGTTTAGAGTTTAGGGTTTAGGGTTTAGGGTTTAGGGTTTGAACAGGCTGCCTTCTGCAGCCGTGCCTCAATACATCTAGAAACCAAGGCGCAGCGGCATGCTCCTCGATTCTGCATATCCGGTGCTGCTGCAACTGCTGCTGCTGCTGCTGTTGCTGCTGCTGCTGCTGCTAAGAAGAGCAGCAAAAGGGGGGCCCTGGCGTGTAAGCCTTTCTCTGTGCTGGACTATCTAAAACTTGAATAAAGGGAAATGGATTAAATATGTCTTTACAGCATCCATTGTTGCTGCTGCTATCAATTACTGCTGCTGCAGCTGCTGCTCTCGTTTCTGCTGCTATTTCTGCAGCTCTTCCTGCTGCTGCTGGTGCGGCTGCTGCACCTGTGCTGGCTACTAATACCAAGGAGGGCCCTGGCTCGAGCAGCAGCTGCTGCTGCAGTTGCTGCTGCTCTTCTCCTCAATCAAATTCTTGCCACCCTACCTGCTGTTGCTGTTGCTGCTGCTGCTGCTGCTGCTGCTTATTGGCCAGCGACAAGGTCTTCATGCAGCAGCTGAAACCTCCAGAGATAGACTTTGTCTTTGGGGTTCTCCGGCAGCAGCAACTCTTTATAAGGATACTCTCTGTTCTCCTTAGCAGCAGCAGCAGCAGCTGCTGCTGCTGCTGCTTGTGTTGCTGCAGCTGCTG